ACAGCTCAGCCAGGGCATCTCAGACACCACAAACTCACCACCCGCAGGCCTGAGGCCTGCAGGGAGCTCTGCTAGGGAAGCTACTTTCAGCCACGGCCAGATTGGAAACGGTGGCTGACGTGGGTAGCTCCATATCTCACTGCTCGTTCCTCGGAGCCACCTTGGTAGCCACGCCCTTGTAGCAGTCAGCTGAGAAGAATCGGGCAGACCCGTGGTGGGATGCTCCTTTTGCCCTGTCCCTCGCGGCTCTGCAGGGCAAACAAGACCTGCTCCCGAAGGCTTAACAGACACCAGAGTCCCTAACATGGAAAGGACGATGCTGTTCCACACAGTGTCTCTGTGGTGCAATGGGTCAACGCACTCGAAAGACAGGGCAGCAGAGGTGTTAAAGCCGTGCTTCTTGGTGGCCACTGAAGTCCTGCTGGGAGCCTCCTAAGCCCCTCCCCTTTTTTGGATTTACTTGGGATTGGTCCTGCTTTTAGCAAAGGAACTGTTGGACTTCTGAGGTTTCCTCCGCCCCTAGGATGCTAGAATTCTAGGCCGCATTCCAGTTTGGGGAAGCGGGTGACCCCCAAGTCAGGAGAGGGCATCTCTAATAAGAAGCCACCGCAACGCCCAGTTTCATTGCTGCTCTGACATAGACTCCTCATGGAGACCTTCCGGGAGGACACAATCCATCTGCCACGTCAGCGGTTCTTCACGTACCGGGCCCCAAAACAAGGGGACCTTCGTCCCCCTCTCGAGGCTAAGCCGAGGTTCATGAGTCTGTTTCTGCCGCCACGCTAGCAAAGCTGTCCCGTTTGCTCAAGCAGTACGGGCTCACGGTCCAACCCTCGCAGGGAGGCCGGGCGGGAGAACTGACCTTTGCCGCATCTCCTCTCGCTGCTGCGGGACCGAAGACCTCCTGGGCCACAAACGCCAGCGCACGCCCTGGTTTGGCCCTGCCCCCTTGAAACGAGAGTTCCCGGACCGCACCCAGCACCTCCTCGATGGTGACATAGTCCGTCAGTTCGATACTCGTCCTGGGAGCCGGAAACAAAAGGAGAGGTGCAAAAGAGGGTTTTCACAGCAGGGATCTCACTAGACCTCACCTAAAGCGGGGGTCACCAGCCCATAGGTCGGGATTTACTGGTCCATCCTGGAGCCTCTGACATCGGATCCTGCCTGGTTTGTCCAGGAGGCTCTCACGTCTTGGCCTTTCAGCTTCCCACCCCTCACGAGGAGCTGCCCCCCTTCTTCCCCCTTGCAGTGCAGGGTTGGGGAGACTGTGGAGGGGGAATGCTGAGATATTAGAGTGTCCCTCTCCTCTTGCCCCCACCCACCATCAAAATCTCTTCGCTCCCATTGGCCAGTTTCCAGCCAATAGGAGCTGAGAGATTTTGCTAGGGATGGGGACAGTGCGCAAAGCCTCCCCCTATCCTTGTGCAGGAGCTGAGAGGCACAGGGAGGGAGCAGCCAGCGGTTTGGAGCAGCCTGAGCCTGCCTCAGGGTCCTGCAGGGCTGCTGGCTGGGAGCCACCTAGGGAAGCGTCTCCCGGTCACAGCCTGCACCTGGCACCACTTTCCCTTCCTCCCCTCAACTCCGCGCCCCAGGCCGCCTCCCCCTCCTGCAACAGGTCACTATCCCAACCCTTTGCACTCTCCCTCTCCCTGGTCACAGCTCCCTCCCAGACCCTGCACCCCTTCCTACACCCTTCCCCCAGGCCAGAATCCTCTCCTGCACCTACACCCCCTCCCGGACACAGCACCCCAATCCTCTGTCCTATATCACAACCCCCTCCTTCACCCATATGCTCTCTCAGACCCTACACCCTCTCCTGCACCCCAGGCCCCTACCCCGAGCTCCCTCCTGTACCCATCCTCTGCCCAGACCCCGCACCTCCTCCATAGAAAAGTGCAGCCCTTGACCACTTACCAAAATCGTGGCGTGGTCCCCCATCAAAAAAGATGGCCCACCCCTGCTCTAAGGATATATTTACAAAGCAGTTCAACACCCCTGGCTGGCCCAAGTTAGCTAACTTGGGTGGGTGAGAGCTATGGTGTGGAGATTCATGCTCAGACATCTATACCACAATTTTACGGCCCCACATAGGCAGGTGACATAACCCAGCTGACTCTAAAAAGCTTTATTCAGCAATATGGAGGACGATGGGTTTCCACCACACCAGCTCCCTGGGGCTGCTTCACCTTCCCCTCATGCCAACGCAACGCCGCTGCCTTCACCAGAGTGGCTCCCGGAAGGGAGATGGCGAAGAAGCTGCGAACGGGGTTTCCTGTCTGAGGGAATCCAGGGCAGCTTTGGGAAGTCTCCCCAAAAGGGGTTTATTGGGGCAAGGGACAATCCTGGTTCTGAGCCAGATTTTTAGCCCCTTTCCCGTTAAAGATTTGAATGTGCCTTCGAATGGATGACGAAGCACATGAATCCCATCATGCCTCACTGCCAGAAGGAGGTGGGCCTCACAGGCTCTCTGTGTTGAGAGGAAACGGCGGTTTGCCTCACCTTGGCTTCTCCGCGTAGAGCGTCACTCCCAGACGGACACCCTCTTTGCCCATGACGACGTTCTCGAAGGAGAGGACCACGCTGTAGATGAAGTCTTTGATCAGCCGGAAGTTCTCTTCGCCCACGCTCCAGGACTCGCCCACCAGAAACAAGATGTCGGCCAACTCTGCGGTCGCACACACTGGTGGGGAGAAGAACCGAGGGGCGGGGTGGGCTCAGTGGCAGGCGCTAGGCCACGGAGCGTGTAACAGATTAGTCAGCGTGGAAACCGTCTCAAGGAACTTCAGCACTGCAGGTCGTGTAACTCCCGAATGACACTGGCTGCCTCAGCCCCGCCCCTTCCGCTGTGGCCCCTCCCTTCCACCTGAAGCCATAAGAACATAAGAACATAAGAACGGCCGGACTGGGTCAGACCAAAGGTCCATCTAGCCCAGTAGCCTGTCTACCGACAGTGGCCAGCACCAGGGGCCCCCG